AAAGATTAGAAACAAAGAGGATCAGTACTTGGAAAATAAGGCCATGGTGACAGAAATGATGCTAGAGATCACACGATAGAATTTTGCAAGACCAATGACTTCTTCATTGCAAATACCTTTTTTTTCCCCCAACAACATAAAAAACAACCATACACATGGACTTCACCAGATGGAGTACACAGAAATCAAATTGACTACAACTGTGGGAACAGACGATAGTAAAGCTCCATATCATCAGCCAAACCAAGGCCTGGGGCAGACTGTGGAACAGACTATCAATTGCTTATATGCAAGTTCAGGCCGAAGCTGAAGAAAATTAAAACAAGTTCACAAGAGTCAAAATATGAGCTTGAACATGGTGGTGGTGGTTGGTGGTTATGTGTCGTGGAGTTGGTTCCTACTCAAAGCAACCGTGCACAGGATTTCCAATGCTGTAAATCTTTACAGGGGCAGAAAGCCTCATCTTTCTCCTGTGGAACCGCTGGTAATTTCGAACTGCTATCCTTGAGATTAGCAGCCCGATTCTTAACCACTACACTACCAGAGCTCCTTGAGCTTGAACATAGCCCACCTGAATTTAGAGATCATCTGAAGACTACATTTGATACATCAGACACTAAAGACTCATGACCAGAGGAGTTGTGGAATGATGTAAAAAATATCATAAAGGAAAAAAGCAAAAGGTCATCAAGAAGACAAGAAAGAAGGAAAACACCAAAATGGTTGTCAGAAGAGACTCTGAAACTTGCTTTCCAGTGTAGAGATGCTAAAGCAAATAGAGCTGAATAGAAAATAAAAGAGCTGAATAGCTCTTTTCAAAGGGCAGCTAGAGAAGACAAAGTCAAATATGATAATCAAATGTGCAAAGACTTGGAGCTAGAAAACAAAAATTGAAGAAAACGCTCAGCATTTCTCAAGCTGATGGAACAGAAGAGAAAATTCAAACCATGACTTGAATACTAAAGGATTCTATGTGCAAAATACTGAATGACGCAGAAAACATCAAAAGAAGATGGAAGAAATACACAGACTCACTGTACCAAAAAGAAATGTCAATGTTCAACCATTTCAAGAGGTAGCATATGATCAAGAGGCAATGATACTGAAGGAAGAAGTCCACGATGTACTGAAGACATTTGCAAAGAAGAAGGCTCTGGGAACTGATGGAATACAAATTGAAATCTCTCAACTGATGCAGCACTACAGACACTTTGAAATTCAGAAGACAGCTATCTGGCCAACTGATTGGAAGAGATACATATCTGTGCCCATTTCAAAGAGAGGTGACCCAACAGAATGCAGAAATCATTGGATATCATTGATACCCAATACAAGTAAAATTTTGCTAAAGATAATTTTTAAATGGCTGAAACAGTAGATAGACAGAGAACTTCCAAAGGTTCAAGCCAGATTCAGATGAGGACGCTGAACAAGCACTACCATTATTGATGTCAGATGGATCTTGGCTGAAAGTAGAGAAGTTTTACCTGTACTTTACTGACTACACAAAGGCTTTTGATTGTGTGGATCATGACAAACTATGGACAACATTACAGAGAAAGACTATTCTGGAACACTTAATTGTACTTATGAGGAACCTGTACATAGACTATGGTTAGTCATTTGATCAGAACAAGCAAACAATGAATGGTTTAAAATTAGGAAAGGTGTGTGCCAGGGTTGTATTCTTTCACCATACTTCTTCAATCTGTATGCTGAGCACAGATTGAAGAAACTAGATTATATGAAAAAAAATGTGGCATCAGGGTTAGAGGAAGACTCATTAACAACCTAAAATCTGAAGATGATACAAGCTTGCTTGCTTAAAGCCAAAAGGACTTAAAATACTTTAAGATCAAAGACCACAACCTTTGGTATGGCTTAAAGTACTTGAAGATCAAAGACAACAAACAGCCTTCGGTATGACTTGCATCTCTGTGTAAAGAAAGCAAATATCCTCACTACTGGACCAATAAATAACATCACAATAAATGAAGAAAAGATTGAAGCTGCAAAGACTTCATTTCGCTGGGATCAACCATCAACAACAGTTAAGAAATCAAACAATGTATTGCATTAGGCAAATCTGCTGCATAAGACCTCTTTCAAGTGTTCAAGAGCAAAACTGTCAGTTTGAGTGCCTAACCCAAGCCATGGTCTTTTCAATAACCTCATGTGCATGTGAAAGTTGGACAATGAAAAAAGAAGACCTTAAGAAGAATTGATGTATTTGAATTATAGTGTTGGAGAATATTAAGGTACCATGGACTGGCAAAAGAACAAACAGACCTATGTTGGGAGAAGTACAGCCAGAGCGCTCCTTGGAAGCCAGGATGGCTAGACTTCGTCTCTCATACTTATCAAGAGGGGCCAGTTCTTGGAAAATGACATCATGTTTGGTAAAGTGGAGTGTCAAAGAGAAGACAAAGACCCCAATGAGCTGGATTGGCACAGTGGCAGCAGCAATGGCCTCAAGCGTGGCAATGATTGTGAGGCTGGTGCAGGACAGGGCAATGTTTCATTCTGTTGTGTCACTATGAATCAGTACTGACTTGATGGCACCCAACAACAATACTAGTCGCTGGAGAAGGATATCATGTTTGGTAAAATGGAGGGTCAGAGAAAAAGAGGAAGACCCCCAACGAAATGGACTGGCCAAGTGGCAGCGTCGATGGACTCAACCGTGGCAACGGTAGTGAGGTTGGCCCAGGATCAAGCAGTGTTCCATTCTGCTGTGCATAATAAGGTCACTGAGTCGGTACCAACTCAATGACACCTAACAACAACAACAACAACAATCCTGCCACATTAACCACAGGGAGAGACTGTTGTTGGTAAGTGCTATCGAGTCAATTCCAACCCATAGCGACGATATACAGGATTTCCGAGAAGCAGCTGGTGAGCTTGAACTGCCAGCCTTGCAGTTCAAACAGCTTTGCGGTCTTGCGCATTAACCCACAGTAGGATTTCTAATATATAGAACAATTACATCAGATCACAAAATGAAAAATAATCACACAATACTGGAAATCATGGCCTAGTGAAACTGATACTCATATTGGAGGGGGAGGGGGAAGAGACACAATTGAATCCATGACAACATCATACTTTGAAAGCACGACTCACACTATGAAATTATCTCTCATTCAGATTAATTCTGGGATATACTACTGTGGCGTAGTGAATTATATACTGTCTCTTCTAGTCATAGTCTGAAACTCCCAACAAACAACATTTCTGCACTGCTGGGTTTCGGTAAGAGAAAAGGATAGGATGATATGATTCAGCTGTATATGTTAGTAACTATAATTGTAAAAACATGAAAGTCTAGCACGGGTTTAAAATAAGCCATCTCTGAAGCAGGAGGTAGGAATCTCAGTACCACCAAAGAAGAGTCAGGAGTGGAGTGCAGGTTTGGGACCCAGAGATCCCTGCACATAGAACCTCCTAGACCCAGGGACAGAGAGCTGTGATACTGGAGGAGTGGCAAAGAAGCAGCAGCAGCAGCAGAACCAAGAACCAGAGCACCAGACAGAGCAGTGAGCTTCCCAGCCTACGGAACAAGAAAAACTGAGTGATTCTGGGCAGAAAGCTTGCTTGTAGAGTGGGGTGTCTTGAGGCACTTAAGTGGGAGAACTAAGTTTGCTGACACATGGAGCTAGAGCTGATTGACTTCAAGAACTTACTGGAACAACTGTGTCCTGAGCACTTCTGATCCTGAATTGGGACCTGTTCATTTCTCTAATAAATCCTTTAATTGTGAGTACGGTGTCTGAGTTCTGTGTGGCCATTGCGATGGATTATTAAACCCAATAAAGAAGTAGAGACAGTACTGTGGAAGGAATGGTTGCTCCCACACATTTGTTGCAACTACTAAAAACCAGGAAAACCCCTTTATTTTTTCTGGTCTGGGATAAGTTATTATAAAGTAAAAGGTATGTTAACAAGCTAAAGAGTAGACACAGATACACATGGGGCAGAGCAGACATCTTTTAGAGGATCTGCACACATGTGACTAGCTAAGTCAGTTTTACACAACTGTTGGTAATTGAGTGAATGAACCCCTTACACCAGATTCTACTGAGGAAAAAAAAAGTCAAACTAGGGCATTCGATGGGAGCCTAGACGTGTAGACAAATTATGGTAGAAATGGAAGGAATCTGAGTTGTGTTCTAGCCCAAGTCAGTCAGGTTACAGCTAATGACAATGAGCCAGATGTACAACGACATACCCACGTTCACATAGTACTGAGGAGTCATGGCCAGGAGACCTTGGCCTCCTGATGCCCTGGTGTGTGTTTATCAGATTGGACTCACATGAGCTGGATAAATGATATGACGTAATCAGAGAGACAACCTAAAGACACCATTCCAAAATACCATGACGCTTCATCCCTTACACCTCCAGGCTATTTGGAACTATCACAGGTTCTTTGATATTTCTTATTTTTCACTTGGCAAATTATGAAGAGAATCCAGTTTTAAAATTCACACACTGATATTCAAGTTCAACATTTACTCCATGTCCATTCTATGTCAGGCATCGTCCTGAGCCACCGAAAGCACAAATGTGCAAGATACTTCATTAGTGTCATACATAGTTCAACAACAATGTAATCTACCCCATCATGATAGTGTGGTGGTGGCCAGGAGAGGGTGCATTCTGAGAAATAATGACAAAGGAATTTGACAACTTCCATCTGGTTCCTAGTGAGTACTAATCCACATCACAAGGGTCCAACAATTTCAGGTCAAATTCAGACAGAGAAGGGAATGAACAGCCAAGATTCCAGCACCAATATAAGGTATGGACTCTCATGATTTCAGCAGCTGAAAATGTCCAATAAGTTTGGGGACAGATGGTATCAAACCGACACCTAGCCAAAAACCAACTGGAGACATGAGCTCCAAGAAAACACATTCCACTTTTTCAAACAAATATTTCAACTTTGGGGCAATTTTAAAAGCAACAGACCCAAAGTGGTGCCACCTTATTCCTACCTCCCAGTGACCAGCAAGTTTGGGTGGAATCTCCAATCCCAGCTTCTCCAGCTCTTGCTCCCTGTACTTCGCGTACTGCCGGTATCCTGCATACCCGCCGCCTGTTGCCAACAGAATGGGCAGTGGGCGCAGCAGGTACGAGGCTCGGGCAGGGGCAGTGTGGACTTTCCTGGCATCTGTAATAAAAAACAGGGACATTTTGAGCCTGGAGGCACAAAGGCAGGGAAGTCCTGCAAACACGGCACTGACAGGCCAGGAAGACTGGCTGCGTCTCAATAGTCTTCAGTGACGACAGACAAACCCTGAGGGATAAGACAAGGCAGGAGCAGCCTTCAGAGACATTTCTATCAGTATATAAGGACAGATGCATATCAACTGCCACCCTAGTTTGTCGCAGAATTTAAGATGACATTAACACTGTATTATTACAAAGAGGAGAAGAAACTAATCAAGGCTGCCCAGCTGGGTACCAACAGGGCCCAGAGTTGACTCCAGTACTTTCCTCCCCAGTGCTCTCTAATCTTGCCTTTACAATCCAGGCCCAATTCTGATGGGGCACTAATGTTCCCAAATGTAAAAGCTCAAATATTCTTACAAGAATAAGATGACAAATAACTCAATTCACAAATGAGCAAAGGATTCAAAATAGCTATTAGAGGATACAGATGGCCAATAAGCTCATGAAAAGCGGCTGGACAACATGAATCACTAGAGAAATCCTAATGAAAACCACTTTCTAGCCACTAGGATGGCTACAATAAAAAAGACAGATAAAAACAAGTGTTGGGACTTCCAGAAAAAGATGACGGATCGGGTGGAAGTGTAGTGACGAGCTCTGCGGAGAACAATACAGAATACAGGACCAAGAAGGCTCAGGAAATCGTTCGAGTACTCAGAACCACATATAAAGGAATATATAGAAGGTTGGAAGACTTACAGCTGGGGAGCTTATGGCAGAAGCAAGAAATCAATTGCTTCCTGGTTCGGGATGCTCAGCTGCTCCAGGAGCCGCCATTTTGTGAGGGGCCAAGAGGGGAAAGGATCAGAGCAGCCACGGATGCCTGACAGAGCCGCAGAGATAGAAGTGTGGACATTCTTTTTTTTTTCTTTTTTTTGGAATCCTTTCGTTGGTCCCTTGCTGTGTGCGTAACTCCATTCTGGTGACTATAGGGGTGCCTGAACTGGCCAGACCCACCCTCGGAGGGTTCTACTATGCATGTGCATAGATCACCTCGAAATTTAAAGAGACAGTACCCACTTAAAACCAAGCGGCCGACAGATACTCAGCCCAAGAGCAGGCCTTCAACTTTTCTTGTTTGATTTATGTTCCTGTGTTTATTTAACACAGGAAAGA